TCTGTGTGCTTTGTCGTTTTCATGTTGGAAGGTAAACCTTCATTGACCGCTTTCTGGCAGAGGGCAGCAGATTTTCCTCAAGAATTTGACTGTATTTTGCCCCATCCATGTTTCCTTCTATCCTGACGAGTGCTCCAGTCCCTGCTGCAGAGAAACAGCCCATAACAGGATATTTACTGGAGTAATGCTGTTATTTGGATGATGAGCTGTATTGGATTTCTGCCATTAATTCCATTTTAGTCTCATCTGCCTCAGAGGTGCGTTTTGGCAAAGCTCAGTCATAACTGCATGTGGCCTTTCTTGAAGAGTGAGTTTTTTCCATACAAGCCACATTTGTGGAGAAATTGTTATATTTTTGTCACATGCAAACAATGACCACTCTTTGTCATAAATTCCTGAAACTCTTGGTCGCTTCTCTGATCAGCTTCCTCCGGCTCTTTCATCCAGTTTGGAGAGACGTCCTGATCCAGGAAGGGTCTGTTTTACCAAATACCTTCCACTTCTTAATGATAGACTTCACTGTGCTTCTAGGCATTGATAAAGCCTTTGAAGTATTTTTCTCCATCTCATGACTTGTGCCTGTCCACAACTTTATCCCAGAGATCTTTTGACGGTGTCTTGCCACCCATACTTTATTGTTTGCTTCAGTTGCACTACCAAGGACTGAAATGCTCCAGGAAAGCTCTTTTCATGCTGAGCTGATCAAAATGAACACCGCTGATCACAGTCGAAAGTCAGATGGCTTTGTGTGCCATTGAGAAGGTGATGAGCTACACCTGATTGAGTTTACAAGTCATTTTTAGGAGGAGGTGATCCTTTTTTCAGTGATTCTGTTTTAAATTGTTTTTCTGACATGTTGGTGTTGTATCTTTCACTTGGATGTTATAATTTGCACTGAGTAAATACAGCTGGATAAAAAAACTGTCTGTCTTCTTTTCAGGCTGCAAAGCAACAAAATGTAATTATTTTAAAGGGGGTGATTCTTATCTATACCCACTGTATATCGGAAGAAAAATTGCATTAACCAAAGCTTTTCAAATTTTTCTTTCTCTTGTTAGGAGTGCTTTCACCTGGAGGTCTTCCGTTCCCACCTCAGGGTCCTCAGGGTCTCATGGGTTTTGGCCAGCCCAGACCGCCAGTTATGGGTTATGGAGGTGTGTGTTAAAGTAGTAAAGTCAGAGTGAAAATGGCCTTGAAGCTTTGGCATTTTCAGGAAGTCGTGATGTGATTTGCATCGCAGTTTATCAACAAGGGTGCAACCATAAAACATTGATACATCTAGCCTTTTCCTTTATTCAAAATTATCTAAGCTTTTGAAATTTCTCATGGTCATACCAAACTGAAAATTTCATGGATTTATATATTCTAGTTTTCAGGCCAAGTGAAGTCATTGAAATTATTATTATTTTTTTTTTTTTTGAAGTCGAATTATTGTAGTGCATCTGTAAAACCATATTTTAGAGGTGTTTCTTTGACACTTTAACAGGGGGTCCTCCTTACCCACCCAACCAGTATGGTGGAGGCGGCAGGGGCAACTACGACAACTTCCGTGGACAAGGCGGTTACCCTGGAAAACCTAGAAACAACCGGTGAATTTCTTTTGTATTTCAGTTTTATTTTAATTGCAGTTAGGGAACGGAAGTGATAGTTTTAGAAGCTCTTTCAAGGATGATGATAGACTAAATCTAATAAAATGTCGCTGTCTTTTCCAGAATGATGCGTGGGGATCCTCGAAATATCATTGAATATCGCGATTTAGATGCCCCAGATGATGTGGACTTCTTTTAGAGCTCCAGTTTTATTCTTTCCATTTTAATCCTTTCTTTTTTTTTTTTTACAGTTGTCTCAGCATTTTCTTTTTTTGCATTTGTTGCAGAAGTTGCCCCTTACTGTCTTCTCTTGTTCATTTGGATCCCTTTTGTGTGCTGTATTGGTTTTTAAATTAAATGTTATATACAATTTTTTTTATTTTATTAAATTACAATGATTTCTATATTTAAAAACAGCAAAATCATGTTTTCAGTAAAGCACTTGCAATGGAAGTAAACTCTTAGCATTGCAGACGGGCTAAAAAATGGGTCGCTTGGATTAATTTAAAAAGCCAGTTTATTTGATCCATATCTTTATTTTAAATGGACCTTTTAGAGGATGCATTAGTTTGACAGCCACTCATCAGTTTAAAAAGAGGCCTGCTGATTAGTATTTAATGCACAAGTCCTAAAAAGCAAGATACTGGATCATTCAGGGCAGACCTGATCACAGTTATAGGTCATGTTTTGGGCATGAATTACTCCCTCTTCCCAAGTTCATTATATTTTTACAAAGTGCAAGCTCAGCACATGCAACATCTTTCACACGCATACAGCAGGGTCACACTGTAAATCTGATGTTCAAAGTCTAATTTAAACATTAAAATAAACTTAGGATGTTGAGAAGTTTAAAAAAAATTATGAAAAAATGCTACAAAATTATTTAAGATTCTGCACTATTTGTATGATAATCAAATGCAGATGTTTATCTGAACATTTAAAAATGACTATGTACTGTATAAACACAGCATGTATTTAAAAAAGAGGGAGCTTATTGGCACAGTGGCTAACCAGAAAAAATGTCAATTCATGCCCAAACGGTTGCCGACCCTTGGCCTACAGTGTAGAAATTACATATTGGTCATAAGACTTGTCATGAAGAAAATTCATATGGGGTGAAAAAAAGGTCTCAATAACAATCCTCCAAGACCAAATTCAGAATACACTTCCTTTATATAGTAGTCATGTTGCTTATAAACATTCAGTTCCACTTTATGAAGAACTAAAATCTACAGAATCCTAACTACAAGCAGCTTCTTACTGTCTCAGGAAAAGGAAATGAATTACACTGAAGAATACAGAAAAATGGAGATGGAGTGTGAACCAAGGAATTCATTTCAGAGAGGTTTGAAATATTTATGTATTTGCGTATATTTATTTATATCATCCCAAATTTGTAAACAGTGAACTTCAACTATTAAATCACATTCATGTGCTAATTAAAGTTATGAATGCTTTGTGCTGATGCATGCATCATTAACATTATTGCTTGTACATTATACCGCCTGTAAAAAATAAAATAATTTAAACGACTTAAAACAGGTTTTATGAAGGTAAATGTAAAACCTTTGAAGACCTTTTTTATGACCAATTAATGAAAATGTAAGGAATAAATTAAATACAACACAACACATCAATATGTTCTCTGAATGTAAATGTTTAGGGAGCACGTAATGAGTTGTATTGGCAACTTCCAACATATCTCTATTACTTTTTAATTAATTTTCCAAATAAATAAATACTAGCTAATGGCTTGAACAGCTCTGCTCCCAATCTCTAGAATACTGAAATAGCTTTTACTGTAAATTCTGATCACGCTGTAAAAATAGTTCATCCTCACTATTTTTGTCTTGTTTTCCAGTGCAAATGAGAACCTCACCCTCAAGTCATCCTAGGTGTATATGACTTTCTTCTTTCAGACGAATCCAGTTGGAGTTATATTAAAAATTGTCTTTGGTCTTTCGAGCTGTTTCATGGCACTCAGCGGGTGTTGCATGCATCAGTCCAAAAGCAGTTAAATAAAAAGCGCCAATAATCACATCAAAATCAAAACTTAATAATCACTTTAATGTAGCTTGCGCCAACAGTTGTACACAGGAAGCAGTTCCGGGCGGATGACGTATGAGTTCAGCGCTGCGCATGCACCGCTCAGAAGTGACGAACGCAGAAGCGCAGTGGAGAGATCAAAACAAAACAACGGTCACTAATTAGAAGTACAAAACGAGGATTTGTAAAGAAGAATGTCGGAGGATTTTGATATAAGCCAAGAGGAGACTGGTTTTCTTTTGCTAAAGTAAGGAAACTTTGCTTCCTTTGCTCCTGTTAACAAACGTTGGTTTTCACGAGACTCACCGGCGCATGCACAACGCTGAACTCATACGTCATGCTCCCGGAGCTGCTTCCGTGTACAACAGTGAGCGCAAGCTAGATTAAAGTGATTATTACGTTTTGAATATGGATATTTTTCTTACAAAAACACATCGATTATCCACAGAAGGCCTTTGTTCACCCCCCGGAGCCATGTGAGACACTTTTTTTATGGATGGGTGCTTTTTATTTAACTGCTTTTGGACTGATGCATGCAACACCCGCTGAGTGCCATGAAACAGCTTGAAAGATCAAAGACAATTTTTAATATAACTCCGACTGGATTCGTCTGAAAGAAGAAAGTCATATACACCTAGGATGACTTGAGGGTGAGTAATTTATGGGCTAATTTTCATTTTTGGGTGAACTAACCCTTTAAAGGGATACTCCACCCCAAAATGAATTTTCCAAACCCGTAAAAGCTTCGTTCATCTTCGGAACACAATTTAAAAATAACGACTTTATTCAACAATTCGTCTCTTTTCATCTCAACAATTTGTCTGTCCGCATCACCGTAGCGCCATTTTGGAGAATAATCGTTATTTTTGTTTTCTTCGCGTACAAAAAGTATTATCGTCGCTTCATAACGTTACGGTTGAACCACTGATGGCAGATGGACTATTCTGACGATGTCTTTCATACTTTTCTGGATCTTGACAGTGTAAGTTACTTGGCAGTCAATGGGACAGTCACAAGCCTCCCGGTTTTCATCCAAAATATCTTAAATTGTGTTCCGAAGACGAACGAAGCTTTTACGGGTTTGGAACGACATGAGGGTAAGTGACTAATGACAAAATTTTCATTTTGGGGTGGAGTATCCCTTTAAATTTGATCAAACCAAATTTAAGACATTTAAGGGCCCACGGGAACCCTGTAATATGATTAAATTAATATCTCATCCTAGCAAATTAATCCTTCTCATTCTGTCTTAAAAATTCAACAGTCAACAAGAATCACACTGATGAACTGTAATACAACACACGTGTCTTCCTGTGAACTATTTAATCATGTGAAAACTTAAAGGTTAGTCTTTTGGCTAAAGTGTGTATTTGAATGTACAAATACTTTTGTGGTAGTTGTCATTATGCCACAAATGTAGAGCTCTGCTTATATTTACCTTGAAACATTCTTATAACTTTTTAATGAAATCTCATATTAGATGCATTTGGTTGACATCTACTTATCAATATGTTTAAGCAATAAAAGAGGTCTGGCCACTGGTATTTTCATGCAGATTGTACTAAAAGAAAGGTGCAGGATTTTTCATGGCAGACTTCATGCTTCATTTTCACAGTAACTCCATATTTAATTATAGCCAAAATGGTTAGGTCAAAATTTCATAGGAATTATTTTCACTTCCCTAGTTCAGTTTTGTTTTTGCATGTTTAAAAGTCCAAGATCAGCACAACAGCAGTATTTTGTTAATTCAACCAAATTATTTTAGTCTTTCACTAACAGTGATACTTCAAATGGTAAAAAGGAAAATTCCCTACAGCCGTCACAAACATAAAAAAAGTCAATGCACAGGGCAGGACTACCGTGCAAAAGTCTTAGGCCACTAGTATTCTGATCTGATCTGATCTGATCATCATCCAGTCTGTCTGAGATTACATGAAGAAAAAGAACAAACTGAGACAGACTAAATCCAGAAGAGCTGTGGCAACGTCTCCAAGATGCTTCAAAAAACCTTCCTGCAAAGCTACAGTACTGTTAAAAGTGTTAGGCACTTGTGTAAAAATGCTGCTTTCAAAAATAATGTCATAAATATATTTTATTGATCAATTAACTTCTATTAACAAAATCAAATCAATATTTGGTGTGACCATCCTTTGCATTTAAAACAGCTTTTGTCCTTGCTACACTTGCACATAGTTGTTCAGGAAGCTTTGCAGGAAGGTTTCTTCAAGCATCTTGGAGACGTTGCCACAGTTCTTCTGGACTGAGTCTGTCTCAGTTTGTTCTGTTTCTTCATGATGATTCTTCTTAATGATGATGAAGATCAGATCTCTGTGTGGAGCACTGGCTGCTGTCAGACTCATTGTGCAAACAAAGATCTCACTGGATTATTACCATTAATGGCAAAAGGAATGTTTGGAAATGTAAACTGATATTTCGTACACTGTAAACCCCAATGTTGTCATTAAGTTAGCTGTACTTAAAAAAATCAGTTAATTCAATGAGAATACCACATTAGGTGAACTCAATTAAACTGAGTTGTCAATTTCCCGTTACTCAATTAAACTGAGGGAATCACTTTCCTCAAATAATTTGAGTAGTCTCAACTTATTAGGGTTTATAGTGTACTGACACGAGCAAAAGATAGAAATAACTGACTTAAAACCATTTTTTGTTGGTGAAAATAGTAGTGGCCTGTATGGGGGTAGAATTGTTGCTTAATTCCAAATAAATAGATTATGATCCACAAATAAATAGAATGAGATCCACAAATAAATCTTAAAGTTTCACAAACATGAATTAAATTCACAAATAAATAAAATGAGATTTGCAAATAAAAAACATATTCACAAATATATATTTATGTCACAACCACAACTTTGCCTGGCATTTATTTGTGAATCGCGTCCTGTGCATTTGTAGATAGCTGCAGGCATTTGTGAATCGCGTCCTGTGCATTTGTAGATAGCTGC